CCCAGCCTGACCTTAGGCTATGGTGGCAGTGGTTACAAGAGCTATGACTGCCCTAAAGCCGCTGAAAATACAGAGCAGAGAGGCACCATTTTGTGTGAGTAGAAAAAAAAGTGCTCCCCAGTGCACACAGCAGACTTAGAAATGAAAAATAATCCCTCTCGGATCCCCAGCCCATATGTTTTCCTAGAGCAAACCACTTCCTCTCCAAATACCAACTTCATGCCCTAGAATGCAGTTAGGTAGCTGGGAAGAAGCAAGGCTCCATATAAGGAGAGAAACGGGTGCCTGTCTTTACCAGAGGCCAAATCCCTGGAAGGACTAGCTCTGAAAACTAGTCTTTAAATGACACAAAGAAAATTGTTTCTGGGAGAGGGATCAGGATTTTGAAGTCACTGTCCTCTATTAAATACCGCAGTTATAGAGTGAGATGGCGCTCAGCACTAAAAAGGGATTTGAAAAAAAGAAAAGAAAAAGCAGTCTGCACTCCCCTAAGGGAAGGAGACCTTTATCTCAAGCTCTTTCACGGATGAGCTCTGTGAGGGGACCTTGGGTGAAACCCTCAACCTCTGGGGCTCCCTGTCCTCAGCTATAAAGTGAGGAGTTGAACTAGATGAACTCTCAGATTTCTTACAGCTCAGACATCCTATGACTTTATAAAATAAAATAGATGTTGGATCCAACAGGCAATAGAAAACAACTCTGGGAACTCCAGCAGGAAAAGGATGTTTTTGTGGATGACTGGCATCTCAGAGTCAAGGGGAAGTCTAGGGACTCAGGCTCAGAACCCAGGCAGCGTGGCGGGGTGCCAGGTGTGTGGGTTAGAGAACAGGGACAGCTCAACTCTGCTGCTATAACGAATAAGCTCTGGTCTTTATTCCACCTTCATATCGTCACACCCAGTCCCAATATAGAGGGTCAATATAGACCTGATCTAGCTCAGGTCGCATAACATCCCTCAGCTGGTGGGTCTGGATTTGCAGGTTGCAAATTACCCCTAAGACATTGTTCAGAGCCAGTCTCAGCAACTTAGAGAGGCCCTAAGCAACTTAACATGTCCCTGTCTCAAAATTAAAAAAAAAAAAAAATTAAAGGGCTGGGACAATGGCTTAGTTGTAAAGCACCCCCTGGTACTCAATCCCTGGTACTCAAAAATAAATAAAGTCCATCTCAATTTTATTAAATACTGAGTAGTGTGGTGGTTTTTATGTGGTCTTCTCCCAAGCGTTCACATGTTGAAGACGTGGTCCCCAGTGTAGCAATGCTAAGAAGTAGAAGGTCCTTTAAGAGGTGGGGCCAGGAGGAGATCATTAGGTCACAGAGCCAGTGCCCCCAGAAGGAAATAAGGTAGTTCTCATGGGACCCTGAGTTAGTTCTTGAAAGAAAGTAATTATTAAAAGAGCAAGACTGGGGGAATGGAGTCGTGGCTCAGTGGTAGAGCGCTTGCCTATCACGTGCAAGGCTCTGGGTTCGATCCTCAGCACCATATAAAAATAAATAAATAAATAAAGGTATTGTGTCCAACTACAACTAAAAAGTAAATTGAAAAAAAAAAAAAAACAAGGGCAAGACTGGGCCCTTGTTTGCTCTGGCTTCCCATCTCACCTTGTGATCTTTTCCTTTCACGTTCCCACCACGATGCTGTGCAGCACCCAAAGACTTCACCAGAGCTGAGCCAAGTTGGTGCCATACCCTCAGACCTCCAGAATGTGAGCTACATAAAACCTCTTTTCTAATAAAGTACTGAGTCTAGTATTTTGTTATAATGGGCTAATACAAGTAGGTACAAAAGAATAGTTTAAAATATATGCAAACTATACAGAATCATTATACAATGAATATGTATAGTACCCACCACCAATTTTATAAAAAACAAAAATTATCATTGTGCTAGAAGGCCCTGGTGTGTGGGTTGCCAATTCCATCCCCTTATAAGTAACCACCTGCTGAATTTACAAGCAACATCTGTCATTAATCAAGAAGAATATTGCAAGGGAGGAGCAGGTTGGGAAGAGGTGAATGCCTGTCACTGGGGATGCACAGATTGGAGACGCTGTCCCTATGTCACTCACAGTCTGGGGTGGGAAGAAGACAGACATGAAGACAATTAGCTGTGGTACAAGCAGGACATAAGAAACACTATAGGAGGACTACACTCTAGGGAAACACAAACACAACAAGAGGCAGTATTTAAAAGACACTGGGTGGAACAGTACAGAGGATTTTGAAAGCTGGAAGGAAAGGGCACAGGTAACAAGCAGAGGAAAGGCAGGGAAGAAAAGGTGTTTTGCAGGCTCCATTCAAGGGTTTCTAAGTATAGAAGAAGAGAAAGTTGAACTTAAAGCTAGGAGGACAGAGGTTGGAGGAAATCCTCAGAAAAGTGAAAATCCTTATAGAAACCAAAACTTGCAGCTTTACGTTTGGATGATGTTATTTTCTGCAGGCAGAAGTCTGGAAGTTTGCCATGTAGGTCTCTTCCCCCTCCTTTCCCCGCCCACCTGACTGCTGTCCCGGCATGCACCATTTGCCACACACAGCCAACCCTGCCTCCACAGCCCTCTTCTCCATCCATCCCTTTTTCCGCTACTCTGATTCCACTGTGACCGCTCAACGATTCAGCGACTGTGGCAGCCTCCTGGCACGGTGCCTTGTTTCTTCTCTCCACTCTCAACCTGCTCCTGAATTCTTTAAATAGAGGGCTGAGGTCCTGGCTGCTAACAGAGCCAGCGCCCAAGGAGACGAGTATAGGTTCATAGCTGACATGGGTCAAGAAGTCATTGGGAGGGGACCTGGGGTGGATAAAGTCCGACTTGAACCAGTTGAACAGCAAGACATTTTAAAAGCCAGGGTCAGCAGTGTAGATAGGAAATCATGAGTCATGCCAGGCACCAAGGACCACAGGTTCTTTTTTAACTGGGACCAATGGGGGGGGGGGGGGAGATGGGATCAGAACTACCAGACAAAAGGACACCCAGAACCAGTGTCCAAGCACCAATCCCAGGGAGAAGTCTTCAAGGTGCCTTCAGCCCAGCCTCCCTGCACTCCCAGGAGAAAGCCCTGACATTGCTCTGACTGCAGCCCTTCCTCGGGCACCTCACCACCTCCTATTCCAATGCCCGCCTCCATGCCACAGAGCTCCAAGAGGGAGCAGGGCAGCCAGACAGACCTGGGATGCCATCACGCAGTAGCCTTGAGACAGTAAGCAAATTGGTGAACTTCCTTTGGCCTCAGATTTCTCAGGGAGAGTGACACCTGTCTCGAGTTGTCACTGTGAGGAAGAAACAAGAGCATACCTGGTGCACACCTGGTATGTAGTGGGGGCTCCCTCGATGGGTTCTTCATCTAGCCAGTGTTGGTAAAGAACCGACTGTGAGCCAAACAGCATCCCAGCTGCCAAGGATGCCACAGGGAGGAGGACCACTCATGCAACTTCAAGTCCACAGAGGGAGACGGCATGGATTAGTGACCACAGCATGATTGAAAAAACAGGTAGGAGAAGAGTGATTGGGATGAAATCCTCAGCAGGAGGCCAGCATCTTGTAAATGACACTTACCTCACTCTATGTGTCTTGTATCTTAGCAGGTGGTGCGCCTGTCCTGTCCCCTCTGCCAGCTAAGCCCTTGGTGGTCAGAGAGCTGGCCATCTAGGTCTTTTTGAGGTTCCTAGCATCTTTTAAAGTCTTCCATTTTAATAAATAAGTGAAATTAGCTTCCTGAAAGCTGCCACAACTTAACAGAACTTGAACTTAATTTATGCCTTTTGTAAGCCAAGTTCCCACTGATTTCCAAGTCATTTGTCAGAACATAATAGATGATGTGCCGGGAAACGATAATTTGGCTTTTCAGAAATGGTATAATATCCATACCTCATAGAGTGCGACACCCCTAACTCCTGCCGAAAAAATCTCAGACCCAAGCTGACTCACCTATTAATTAGGGATGTGAAGACAAGAAAAAGTAAGACTAGCAGCATTCCATTGGCCAAATTTTCAGTTTCTAAATTTTACAATTAAAATTTCAGCTTGTGACCTAGCAATAAATAAAAGAAAGAAAGAGAGAGAGAGAGGCAGGGAGGGAGGGAGAGAGACAGGAAAAAAAAAAAAACAGAAAAACCCCTCTGTGCTGGCACATTCATTCCTATTGAGGCTGCTTGTCTAAGGGGAAAAAAAAATATCTTTTCATCTACCCTGGTAAGATCACAGATGAGGCCTCTATAACAAAAGATTAATAAGAGAAAACAATACTAATTTGTTTTATTTATATAGTATGAGAGACATCAAAAGGAAATGAGGACCTACAGAATAAGTTAAACCCAAGGGTTTTTTTTTTTTTCTAGTTTTGATGAAGAATGGAGAGTAAAATATGATAGAGCAGAAATCGTATGCTCAAATGATGATACACTGGGGAACTCTGCCAGGCCTGTCTGTTCACACTCTTCCGTGGCCCAAGTCTTTGGAAACAAGAATGCTCCTTGCTCCCACAGAGGGAGGGCGCCTCTCACACAGGGATCTTGTGATCTGTTTCAGAGGAAGGTCAGAAAAGATTTTATTGTCTGCTTCAGGGAAGAAAGGTGGTAGGGGAAGAGCAGAGTGACCTTCCTCCTTCTGCTGTTTGTTCAAAGTCATTCTATTTAAAATATTCCAGTGCCATATTTTAAGGTAGCATGTCCTTAATATCAATACTAAGGACATAATATTAATAATTACATAATGGTAATTATTATTACCCATCACTTAATATTAAGTCTGACCCTGTAATTAAACTCTGCCCGTCTACTCAGATAAGCAATCTTAATCATATGATGATTTCGGAAGATGACATGTAAACTCTAGGAAAATATTTTGCTTGTTTTTCAACATTAAGAGCTGTCCCCTTGCCTATATGTGCTTTTTATTATAATTAATAACTACCATTATTCTTGACATCCAGGAAGGCTGTCACAAATATGAAAGCCACAGAATGACACGAAAAACACTTTGCTATTAAACTTAAATACCAAAGCATTTCATTTAAATCATTTTATTTTGGTATCTGTGAAATGTTTTTAAAACATTCTAGTGCCCAAAGAAGGCAAGATTAATAAATGCAAACAAATGTATAAGCAAATAGCCCAGGCCCTCCTAAGCAATTTGCCAAATACTAAACAATCTTTGGTATAGGGAAAAAGTCACCCAGTCAGAATCTGCAATGAGAGAAAGGACTTTCATCCTTGACCATTCTTGGTCAAAATTAAAACCTTGGGTCCACTGTAGTGATGGATGAAAATAAGAGTTAAGTGTTCTCCTGTTCTTTCCGTGGGTTTCACCGGAAATGGGTTTTCCATGACTCATGCTGCTTCCTTGAAAACAGGCTCATTCCCTTGATCTCTTGGGTCAGATGAAAGCTCTGAGCTACTTCCCATCAAGAAGTCTGATTCCCACGGCTTTCCTATTGTGAGCCTCAGCTGGACCCAAACATTTACCAACCTACTCATTCCCAAAATAAAATTATAAGCATTCTTCAATAGGGTTCAGTCCAATTTGCTCAGGGATAATCTGAAGATTTAAAAAAAAAAAAAAAAGGAAAAAAAATGTTATTCACACAAAAAGTTTGTTAAGTATTCCCTAAATTATAATTGGTAGGAAACTATTTTAAATCATTTATAAGAACACCAAAAAACTTCCTCAAGACAATTTCCACTCCCCTTATGCAATGGAGCCCCCATTATATCCCTAAGAAGACTGTGTGGGTAGAACTAAAACTTCTGCCCCTGGGACAGAAGAAACCTAGGGTCTCCCGAGCTTCTGCTACCATAGTACCTTGGTCTTTCCCTCTCCATCTATTAAATGAAAATGTTGGTGCAAGTTTCTTTAAATAACAACATTCCATGATTCTAGTAGAGACAGAAGTTGAGATTAATTCTTTCACCCAACAGATTTTTATGGAAAGTTTAATAAATGTGAGGCATCGTGTCCCCTGAGTGTGGGGTCTCTATTATGCTCTCTTCTGCCCCTGAGAACAGCCCTATCAAATAGCTTGACACTGTTTGTTGGAATTAGAGGTTCCCTACTCTGATTTCTCCACTCACAGCCTTGTTACTTTTGCCAATGAGTAGAAGAATTTTTGACACAGCAGGTAATAAAGAGGCACTTGGTGAACGGCCAAAAAGGAGCTCTCATCTGCAAGACTGAGCAGCCCAGAGCAAGGGGCATCAAGCATCATGTCCCACAATACTTCCTTGACACATCATATGGCTATTCTAGATTCTATCTGGGAATTTCTGAGCCAACAGCAGACCCTGACTGCATCAAGACCCAAGCACTAAGCCCTGCCTCTCTTTTGTCCTGAACAGGACATCCTGGGTACTTGGTGGCTGGTTGGACTGTGGAGCTGGCTGCGCAGGGTCCTTTGGTTGTCTCTACAAATCTGCTCTCTACTTACATCCACTCTGCCTGGTGCCCCTGAGGCCAGCCTCTATGAACTGTCTGAACCAAGTCCAGTGCCAAATGGCCCCAGTTGAGTGTGGCCAGTGGAGGGTAGGAACCCAGTCCAGCAGAGCAGGAGTATTTAATTCTCTCTCCTGGGCAACCACGGGCTATAGCATCCTCTGCCAGATCACACTCATTCAGACTGCTCTCCCCACGTTCTGTGTGTGATTGTGTGTCTCTGTCTCTCTGAGCTCCTTGCCCCTTTGGCCTTAAGGACAGTAGTAGCACCTCACTGTCACTAGAGCCAAGGTGCTGATCCCCAACTTGGCCTTCTCATATTCTGATTAACAGGATCAAACTCAATTTGGATATAATACCAGTTTCCTTTTAGGACCTTTACTGACAACAACTCAAGTATTATGAAGAGTATATAACACAGTAAGAAGGAACTCATAAATTCTAGTTTCCCTCCTGTTCCGGTTTGGATCTTAAATGTCTCCCAAAGACTGTGTGTTGAAGGCTTGGTTACCAGCCTGTGATGCTACTGGGTTGGGTGGGAGGGGGGGCTTTAGGAAGGGGGGCCTAGTGGAAAGAAGTTAGGTCATTGGGGGTGTGCCCTTGAAGAAGATATTAGGACCCCAGTTGTCCCCCACCCCTCCTCCTCTTCCTCCTCTTCCTCCTCCTCTTCTTCTTCTTCTTTTCTCTCTCTCTCTCTCTCTCCCCCCCCTCCTTCCCTCCCTCCTTCTCTCTTTCCCTCCCTCCTTTTCTCCCTTACTCCCTCTCTCTCTGCTTCCTGGCCACCATGAGATGAAGAGCTTTGCTCTGCCACATGCTCCCCACCACGATATTATGTTCTGCCTCACCACAGACCCAAAGCAATGGAGCCAAAGGACCAACTGAAACCTCCGAAACCATGAGCCAAAATAAACCTTTCCTTTTTTAAGTTATTTTCTCCAGTATTTCATCACAGCAATGAAAAGCTGACTAATACACTCCCTCTTCCTTGTTATATTTTTTTTCTACTACATTGGTTATAGAATGCCTTTAACATAGTAACTACTTAATAAATATTTTTACTTTATAAATATTTGTTGAATGAGGCCAAGTATGGTGACATATGTCTGTAATCCTAATGGATCCTGAGGCTGAGACAGGAGGATTGCAAGTTCAAGTTCAGCTTCAGCAACTCAGGGAGGCCCTAACAACTTAATGAGACCTTTTCTCAAAATTTAAAACAAATAAAAGGGCTGGGAATGTAGCTCAGTTGTAAAGTGCTCCTAGGTTAAATCCCCAGTACCCAAAATACATATGTATCTAAAATGTGTACATATATTATGTATATATTATATATTATGTATTGTATATATTATGAATTATATATATCTATTATATATTTGTTGAATGAATGAAAAAAGTTTCTAAGGCACTTCTGATCACAGTTTTAGATTATAAACATGGAAATCTATGTGCAGTCATCTATATTATCCAATGTTACATTTAAAGAAGTTTCTTATTTCAGTAATTGGAGGGTGGGGATTCTGCTTTGCAAATCTCCTTTTCTTTTTTCTCATGCTGAGACTGAAGTATGGCTTAACTCCAGGAAAAACAGTGCCAAGGGATGGAGCTGACATCTCAGGAGCAGACTAAGAGATTAGTTTAATAGACTGCAAGATTAGTTTACTGATCCTTCCTAGATCCTTTCCTAGAAAATAGTGATTTGAGTGCATATCATCTAATTCATACAGACTGACTTTGCAAGATCATCACTTTCTACGTCCTACAACCAGATCGAAACATACTTTAGGTTAAACTGCACCTCCTTAAATCTATTCGTGTTTATAATGAACAAGCTAAACAGTCAATGAAGCCGAATCATCACTCACCATGTGTATTGATCTCGATGATGAACTGCAGAAGTAGTTTCCAGTTCTGGTATTGGGGGGAGCACTTCCTCTATCTGAGCCAAGGACAGCCCCGGTGTGGACTCTATTATTTAAGGAGAGCTTATTATTCTATATTTAGTCAACAGCAATGCAAAAAGAGACACATGTGACTAATGTAGAGAAGATATCTATATTAGATATACTCTAATGTAGGAAATGCAGGAAGAGAATCCTGCCCAATATCTAAAGAGGATTTGGTAATTTCCACCACCCACTAAATTTCCTGCCTATAACTCTAACATCTTCAACCCATTTGTCTCAACTCTGTTTCGGTCCTTCATTCTTTCCCTCACCTTCTCACTCCATTTCTTTGGCACAAGATGTGAAGCCTAGTTAAGGAGAAGCAGTGCAGAAAAAGCTTTTAGAGCACAATGTTAAGTAGCAAGAAAAACCATCTTAGTTTGTCCTATCACATTGTTGAAATATGCACCTATGGAGAATATGAATAATGTCTTCAATTTTAGGGACAATTTTAAGAAGCACAGTTACAAATTAAATGAATTCTAATCTGTCTTCATGCTTTATGACTACGTAACTCTATAAAATTCTTTATTCTTCTAATATTATCTTCAGTTGACTTCAAGTTAGGAAATGAACATCCATGTCCTACATTGTGGCATGTCTTTCATTTTCCTAGGATCTGGGGTCCTGATTCTAGTTTCTATATTCAAACTTGAGTTCTATAGAATACATGTGGTTTTTGCTTGATAGACATATCTACCTTTTACGTGTGAGAGAGAGAGAGACTGGGGATCAAAATAAGGGGTGTTCCACCACTGAGTTACATTCCTGGCCCTCTTTAATTTTTATTTTACTTTGATACACGGTCTCCCTAGATTGCCCAGTCTGGCCTCAAACTTGAGATCCTCCTGCTTCAGCATCCTTATTACCTGGGATTACAGGTAGGGCCCACACCCAGCTGACATCTCTACTTTTGATGCAAAACCCTGAACTCGGGTGGAAATGAGGTGACAATGGTTCAAAAAAAAATTAGTGTAATTGCTTCTTTGATTTCTGAGGAGAAATCAAAAGAGAATTTTTGAGCATTCAAGAGCATGATGCCTCTTGTCCACGGAGATGATTAAACACTGGCACTGGTCACCCAAACAGAAATACTGCAGAATATTCTCCCAGAAATTTTTCTTTTAACTAGAAAATTTATTTTAATAATAAAAACTTTATTTGGGGGATTAATTTTCTGAATAAGGAACACATTCCCATGATTCAAAATCTAAAAACTATGAAGAGATATTCAATAAACTGTCTCCCTCATCCCTAGTCTCCTAGACAATCATTTCTATCCCACCACATAGTTCTTCTTGTCTTCCCTTCATCTGCCACAGGCAAGCAAGGTTGCTAGTATGTGTGTGCATGCACTTGTATAGTAGTATATATATATTATATAGAATATACCTACTATATATATATATATGTGTGTGTATGTGTATGTAGGTATACATACAAACACTTAATAATATATCTTGAAAGAGCCAGATGTGATGGTGCACACCTGTAATCCCAGAGACTCTGGAGGCTGAGGCAGGAGGATGGCATAAATATATATATACACTATTCTATGGATGTTTTATTTCTATTTTGTTTAGGATTTTTGCATAAATTAGATTGTTCAACATTTCATTTTAGAGTCAGTCTTTTTTGGCTTTGAACAATACTATTAATATTAGGAAGCATCCTTTTTTCCTTTGATCTGTGCTTCGGATAAGGTTTGTCCCCAAGGATTCATGTGTCAAAAGCTTGTCCCCAGTGTGGTGATGTTAAGAGGTGGTAGAACTTTTAAGAGGTGGGGTCTAGTGGGAGGTCATTGGGACCCTCAGAAGGGATTAAACAGTTCTCAGGGGACCCTGGTTATTTCTCTCAAGAGGGTTGTTATGAAAGAGGGAGCTTGACCCCTCCCTGGCCTCTTTGACTTCCTGTGTGATGATGTGATCTGTCCATCTCATACGTGCTCTTGCCACTGTGGTAGCATCAGTCATGAGGTCTTCACCAGAGCCATGCAGAAGCTGGAACCATGCACTTGAACTTCAAGAACTGTGAGTTCAATAAATGTCTTTTCTTTATAATGTACCTGGCCTCAGATATTTGTTATAGTAACAGAAAACAGGCTGATATAAACACTGCTGGAAACATCTATTTCTTTGAGTTGATAAATGCTCCTGCAAAATGTTCTTCCTATTACTTTTTAAGGAGTAATTCACACATTTTCTATTTCCTTTCTTTCTTTTTCTCAATACTGGGGATTAAACCCAGAGCATCACACATGCTAGGCAAGTGCTCTACCATTGGGCTACATCCCCAGCCCTTTTGATTTTATTTGGAAACAGGGCTCATTAAGTTCCTCAGGTTGGCCTCAAATTTGTGATCCTCCTGCATCTGCCTTCCAAGTAGCTGGGACTACAGGCATGTGCTACCACCCTCAGCTCACTCTTTCTATTCTATGACAATTGATTTGTTCAGATTTTCTATTTCTTCTGGTGTTAGATTTTATAAATTTCCCTAGAAAGTTATGGTTTTTAATGAAAAAATGAATAAAAATCAAGATAGTAACTACTTTTTAGAAGGGGTAGGAATTAATAGAACATTTCTGAGGCCATTTCCAGCAGATAGTCCATGGAAATGATAAAATCACAACTAAAGTTAGAATTTTTTCTTACAAAGCATTTAATTTTCAAAGGAAAAATGACAAAAGTTCCCTAATTAGCAAAAAGGTGGGAAAAGAGCCCAGTCTTCACATGGGCCCAGATCTCCCACTTCCTGTTCTTGTTTCTTCACAGACCCTTCGCACATAAGTCCCTTAGCATGCTTCATTTTTATTTTACTGTAAGTACCAATCAGATCTATGAGTCTAGCTCTATGAGCCCAGTCTCACCACGAAGGTTCCTTCAAGTCTGATTTCTCTTTCTATACCTGAGCTTCAGGAAGAGAGATCCTGATAGGCAGAATTCTAAGGGCCCCCAAATTCCTGCCATCTGCCTTTCGTGCTTCCTGTAATCTCCTCTCCTTGAGTGTGGACAGCACTGTGAAAAAGAATGGGGTTTCTGCTCCTGTGATTAGGTTATACTATAAGGCAAAGACGAAAGGATTTTTTACAGTTAACATCTCAAATCAATTGATTTTGAGTTAATAAAATGGGAGACCACTTTGGGTGGGCCTGATTTAATAAAGCAAAAGTCTTTAAAAGAAAGACTTAGCTCTCCCTGAGGTCAAGGAGATTCTCCTGCTGGCTTAAGGATGCAAACTGCCCTGTTCTGAGCTGCCTCCTGGGCAGGAGAACTTCTAGGTGACCCCATGACCTGAGGGCAGTCTCCAGAGGATGCCCAGTAGAAACCCAAGGCCCCCAGCATACATGAGCAAGGAAATGAATACTGCCAGTCACCTGAATGACCTTGGAAGCAGTTCCTCCAAATGAGAACGCAGCTCTGCAGATACATATTAACTTCAGCACTTAGAGACCTTGAACTAAGCCACGCCCAGGTAAGCCACGCCCAGACTTCCAACCAATAGAAATTCAGATGATAAATTAGTATTGTTTTAAACTCATAAATTTACGGTTAATTGGTTACACAATAGAAGATACCTGGTCTTGGGTTCTATCCCAGATCTTTTGAATTAGAATATCCCTTTGTAAAAGCCTGGGATCCTGAATTTTATAGACCTCCAGGTTGATTCTGATGCACATTACAGTGTCAGAATGAACTTATGTGCAAATAATTGCTCAGACATTCTTTAACCAAGCATTTTATAACTTCCAGAATTCGAGATTTGGTGATTGTTCTTTTAAAAGTTTATAATAGCAAAAGAGTCTACTCATAAAACTAAATAATTATCAAGTAAAATTAATAGAGCTCTTTCAGTTGGAAAGTGCTCATCATTTGCTTATTCATTCAGTTTGCTATGTTTTATAGCACCATATAACCATAATTTATTGTAGAAAGCTATTACCTGTCAAAATGATGGTTAGTCTAGAGTAATTCTCCAGTGGTGCATTGTCTTCAGTTTCTCCTAGTATCGAAAGTCATGTAACTTACATGCTGATAGCAAACTTCTAAAAAATTGATCAAAAGGTAGGATAAATGTCATTTTAAAACTTTCTTCAGAATAGTTAAAATGGATGGGATCTTTTTCTTGTACTACATTGGGGGAAATAGAATTTATTTCAAATATCATTAATTTACCAACACTAGTTAAGGCAACAGAAGCCGTCAAAAATATTTTTAAATTCACAGATGTCTTTTCATGAATTTGTCAAATCTCTGAATCTCTGAACCAAACATTTTTTAAATGTTTTTTTAAAGAACCTCAGAAAAATCTAAGACATTAAAAAGAACCTCAGTGTGAATTTTGACCTGGCTGAATTCAGCAAACAAAATGGATTTCCATCAGTAGAAACTTTGATAAAAGATAAAACTCTATGTCTATGTTCTTGAATAAAACCTTCTCACTGTCTATGGCAATGTCCAGATTGCCCTGCAAGGCTTCTTTTTTTCTTCTTTTTATTTTTTTTTCAGTATTCCTGTCATTTTTCAAAGGTACTTTATACCTATGACATCTACCATCTAACTTCAATTCAACTTTCCAAAGCCACTGATTCCCACTGCTTAACGGAAACTTACTACATGCTTTCGTCATTTTGTTCCTGATGATCTTCCTCTCAAAGACGAGGCACATCTCCCACCCTGGGGGCATGTCTAAACCTCTCTCTCAGCCTAGCCAGTCTCTCTTGGCTGCTGAAGAAATTTGCATTTTTTAACATTCTTATCTCCAAAACTACTTGCTCAGCTATGTCTTACTTGGTTATTAAGTTGGAAAGCCCCAAATAGCTCAAAACAAAACAAGGAGGTGTAAACAGTGTTAGGTGACCATACATGCTATGTCCCCTGTGCCAACTTCCCCAGTAGTGGACCTCCCCAATAGTGGACTTAGCAGATTTTGTTGTAATTGCTCATTTGTCTCCCTCTCTGAGGAAAAAAATTATGTGTACTTCATTATTTGAGTTCTCAGAACCTATCTTAGATCATGACATACAATAGGTACTCAATAAGTAGGTGTCGTGTCAAAGGACTGAAAGAATGTCCTTTAACTTCTCTGTGCCTTGTTTTTCTCAATCAAAGAGCATAGGTTCAAGCAGAGCAAGGAGTCGACCCTGAGTTAGCACGCAGGAATTTGGGAGTAAGAAAAATAAGATTGTCTTCCAAGAGTTGTCTGTAAAATCAACCTATGATCAGATCTCAAGCTTACAAAGTCATCTTCAAAATATTATTCCCAAGCCAAAACCTGCTCAGTATCCAAAGTGCTTTGTTAAATGAAGCAGCCAGGCTACCCTAAAGTAGGGAAGAAGGTCTAGAGCTACCTAGCCTGGGGATGCATTTTAAGACCTAGCAAACAACCCTTGGCTATGCTTTGATTTTCCATATGGTTCTGCCAGAGAGACAGCACACAAGTTTGCTGTCACAGAGTCTGTCTCTCTCTCAATTGTACCACTCTTTGTGAATGAATACATTGGCCTTCAGGTTTTGTAAACCTATTGGTATGAGCTGGATTATTTCAATGGATCCTTATTAATGCACTGTTATCGCAGAAGACTAAACCCAGAAGAAAAGCACTGGACCAAGTATACTCCAAGTATGAGGCACCTGTGTGGCCTTACAGGTGGCAGAGGTCAGTGCTGGAGTGGCCCTGGCCTTGCCCCACACCTTCCATTTGGCAGTGGTGTTGACACCTGCCCTGTGGAGATCACTTCCCTGTGATTTTGGAAAAGCTAGGGTGGCTACTTTGAGGCTAAAAGAAAATGAAAGTGAGGATAAAATGAGGTGATACATTTGATTGTACTTTGAAAACCACAAAGCACTACCAGTGCCAAGCAATGTTATTCCCCACATTTGTTTAAGCCCTCCCCATGGTTCTGCTCAGAATCCACTAGGACCCACTCAGGGGCTCAGCAGGTGAGGGCTCTGGGTAGCAGACCCTGGAAATGAGGCTCTCAGTTCTTCCCTCCTCCCTGTGTAGTTTGGGAGACTCAGCCATTCTGATTCTTCCAAGAGTCAGTGGCAATTAACATCTCATCTGCTATCCACAGAGCACTTGCTTTCCTCAAAAGTGCTTCTCCAAAAATAAAGAAATGCTGGTTTATCCTCATTGATTACTTTAGTCAAGACAGCTGTGGAAAATTTCAGACAGTTGGTGATTGTTATACAGTTCTCTAATTTAGCTTTAAAAAAAAAAAAAAAACCTTCCAGTCTTAATGACCTCTTACTGCCATAGGAATGCAGAACTTCAATATCTTTCTACATCATTCTGACCTTTTCATCACATACAAATATTGGCACTTCTGTGCAAGTCCAAGATAGCTAGTAGCCTTTTAGGACTAACAGAACCAATTACAACAGCTTAAAATAGATTTGTATTATTCAAGGCGCCAACTTCCTACTATGGTCAAAGCTCCATCTGTTATTATTAACAGTGATCCTAAAGCTACTCCTCTGCACCCAATCTGGTCAATGTGAGAATCAAATGAGAACAGAAGATAAACGGTTGCGAAATTATCTAGAATTAACACTAGAGAGGGAAAAACAACCCTGCTTGAACTGACAGCTGCCAATATTCAGAGCCATTTACTGAGTTCTTGTACACTTCAAACTGCAGATAGCCTTCCTACTCCAAGAAATGAAACGGAGGAAGAGTTTCACAGTGTTCCTTTCATTGTTTTGAATAGAGATTGCGGGGTGTGAGGGAGTTCTGAAAATTCTTTGTAAAATAGTAGCAATGATCTTTTCAGCACAGTGGATAGAGAATTGTATTTATTTGGCACATGTTTATTTGGTTTCTACTATGTACAGTACACATGCCCTATGCTGTGAGCTGGGGATGCACTGATGAACATCATCAGATAGTGCCCCTGGCCTCAAGATGCTGACTGATTCATGGAAGAGACATCAATCAAATACCAACAAAAATATAAAATAGCAACAGTGAAAATTGCTACGAAGAGGTTGGTGGTGTTTTAAGAGTATGTAATAAAAGCAAGTAAAAATTAGTACAGAAAGTTCCAGAATACTTCCCTGAGAAGGTGCTGGTTTAAGCCCAGATCACAAGGGAAGGGTTGGAATTAACTAGACAAAGTCAGGGTGGGCAAATGGGAGGTATGTATGGGCAGTAAGGGAAGCAAGATGGTTCAGGCAGGGACAGTCTGGCAAAGATGGAAGAGATGTTAATGTGCATATGTTTTGTCATCAGTTCTTCCAGATCTGATATAAATAGCTGTCACATAAAGGTATTCAAGGAATGAACAGAATACATCATCCTATGCTGCCTATAGATTTTTCACACTTATGAATTTCCTCTTGCAAAGAGAGATATCCTCTTCATTTTTATCTATTCTGTAACCAAGCAGATGGCTGTAACCTTTCCTGTCTTATGAACTCAAACCTGTATTTTAAGAGTCATAAATATTATAGTTAGGCAAGTAAAAATTAAATTTTCACGTTATCTTGCTTGGTTGCAAAACATCTGGCACCAGTAATTTATCTTCTTTTCCGTGGGAAATTGAAACCTGCTTAGCCTTTATGCACTAGGCATAAACATTGCAAATTATAATTTTACATTGACATTAGTTTCATTTGGAGGTAATGTAAATGGGGTCATCCACTTAATTTTGACATTTACTAATTCTCTTTCACAATAAAATTCCATTTTCTTTGCTTTGTGTTCCCTGAGAACCCACCCACATTAACTACCAAAAAAAAAAAAACAATCAGCCAATGCTGAAATGTTTCTTTGTGGATGACTCACATTGCCACACAAGCTGCTACAACTTTATATAGAGAAAACACTTCATCTCTGTTTCCAGTGTTAAACATAAAAGCAAGAAGAGTTTTGATCTGTGGGTTGCACCAGCAGCTTCTCGGTACACCATTGTCATTAAGTGGTATGCTAGAAAGTGCATCAGTTGGACAGAACTGAATTTAAATTCTGACTCTGTTAGGAACTGGCTATAAGACAGTTACATAAGCTCTCTTGGTTTCAATTTTCTCATCAGAAAAAAAAAGTGAAATTCCTATGAAACTACATGAAATGACATATGTGGAAGTACACTGCATGTGGAAGGTGTCCCATGAGATATTAGATTCCCTTCTCCTAAGGCAACCAGGGATAGAATCTCTTTAGCCTCCTTGGAAGCCCTGTGAAGGCAGGGATTGTGCCTATGCTATGTGCTTAGTGAAATGGTGGCCCATAGTCTTGGGTTGAATATTTAAAGGTGAAGAATGCCAAGTGTTAAAGTTTTCACCATTTTCCATGGACATAGCAGGGAGACCACTTCACAGACTCAAAAGCCAGTGTGAGTGGAAAATCTAATTGTAGAAACTTGGTGTTGCAGATATTCATGTAGTGGCTATCCAGCACTGGGACATCTAGAGGGTCATCTCAAGTATGGAGAAAGTCAGAGAGGCAGACAGTTCCTCTCCTTGCTTCCTGGCACCTGGTGTACCACTGTGTGGCCTACACTCAGTCCTGTAGAGGCAAGCCATCCTGGGGAGAGATCCCAAGCTGCACGCTGGTCACAGGGTAGCCCCAAACCTCAGAGGGAGCATTCATGGTAATGACAGCAGCAAGACATTCTCACCAGACCATTCCTGGCATGTGACTTAGGCTGTATTTTGGCTTCCTGCCCTACCCCCCAAATTCCTGTTTATCTGCAAAGCTCAGATTCCCAACCTGCCTTTTGCTTTTATGGCCTACCTACTGGTTTTCCATAAATTTCTTTTCTGCAGTCAGTCAAGTGGGGTTTTTGTGTTTGCATCAATGATTTAGATCCTAGTCTACTCTTCCTGCCCCTGGCCTTGGGTTCTCAACATGGCCAATACATTGAGCACTGTTTTTAGAGATACATTTTCAAGTTATGTGATTTTCAAATTTCCTTCTTAGAGGTGGTTGATGTTTTCCATTATTCTTTGATATCCTTAGCAAGCCTATAAAATGTGCTTTAGGTTCTTCAATGGAGCCGAATTATGTTCTCTCTAATTACTCTTTGTTGCTTCATTTGTTTTCACCTTTCCCAGCGCCTGAGATTCATATCTTGCTCATCTGCTCTTTATCCTCAATACTCATTTCCCCTTAGGGGCTTGTGAGGTTTCATAGCTTTTATCGTGCATGAACTACGTGCCAAATATTATGCTAGGGATGAGGACACGAAGAGGAATAAGGCAGCATCAGGGCTTGTGTGAAGATAATAACTGGATGAATAAGACGTTGTTAGGTAGATTAACGCCAAGACAGGCAATGGAAGTCACCATGCCTCTCAAGCAAGGAGGAAAACAGACACACAAAAGGCTGGGATTTGATTCTACATGACATCTCTTTCTACAGTAGTGAGATTCATTTATTTTGTGATCATTGTGTCTCTAGTATGTACCAGGCGTGGTGCAGTGCCAGCATCCTGGTAATCTCTCCTTATTGCTCTCTTGTCGATGAATGAATGCCTTTTGGAGGGTGTGAGCCTGTCTGTACCTCTGAGTGTAACAAAAGTGACTTTGTAATCCGTGAACAAGTGGCGAGACATTCTGGAACAGAGAGCTGGAGTCCACAGCAAGCTCTGTCGAAGGTGGCACAGTCGCTGCTTCTTTGAACTACATTTTTTTTTCTTTCTCATGTTACTGCGTTTTCAGAGAACCATATAGATACATTTCCCCCTTACATTCTCACTGCTGCCTATAATCCATCATTACAAAGAGCAGCCTTAAAAACGGCACTCAAGGGAGACATTATTGCCTTTCCATTTCTCTCTCAGAAAGAGCAACTCAGAATAGGGAGAGGGAAAAAAAATGCATTTAGGTTAAAGGAATATAAATAACAAAGAATCTGCTTCTTTCCCTTTTTAAGATGCGGAGCCTCAAAAGGATTCTTGGTTTTAAAAATGGCCATCACCCCTTGGCCTGAACAAAACATTAATATTATATACCTGGTAATAAAGCCACACTTTTAGTGAGAGCTATTAAAGGGGAAGTAGGGCTGAGACAGGTTTCTTGGGTGAAAGAAAATCACAGACTCATAAATACAACTTGTGAGGTTAGTCTTGTGGTTGGCCAGGACTTAAAATTTGTGATTCCCTCGATTATATGGGTTGACAGGGGAGCTATTGACTTTTTCTCAGACAAGACTGCAGTGCTCAAAATTATGACTTGAAAACAGAAATGACCAGGATTCCTAACACAACTAAAAAGCTCAGCCAAACTGGGTTAAACCATTCCTGGTGTACAGGCCCATTTTCTAGATAAGAACCAGGGAATGCTATTTTCTCCTTTTAAAAAAATATTTTTTCCCCATTTAAAATCTTTTTTGAGGGCTGGGGATGTGGCTTAGTGGTCAAGTGCACCTGTGTTCAATCCCAGGTACAAAAAACAAAAAAAAGTTTTATGACTTTTATTAATCAATCAAATTTACATTGGCCACCTAGAATTTCCATTAACTTATCCCAAATATAACTGGAGCCAAGTGATTATTTTGCTAATACTTATTATTAGTTATAGCTTAATAATTTGACTGCTAACACTGAGTAGTGTTTGTTTGTTTTTTAATTTTTTTTTTTGGAACTCTTTGGGTACACCCAGGCTAATCTTTCCCCAGACGAGAAGTCTGAGATTCTTGTTAATTTCAATAGCAAACAAATGTCTCAGGCAGTGGTCCCCACTGAAATTCTGGGCAGATCTCTAGGTGGCTGCAGATGCAGCTGCAGTGTGAGACAGGGAGTTGTCTGGTATCCTTTCATTTTTAAAAAGCATTTACACACACCGACTTCAAGCTTCCTTTTCTATCTTCTCAGAGTCAAAGGGGCCAGCTCACTGGCTATGGACAAAGGGTGTTAGTCAAATCACTCATAATTCTGTGGTCTGTCAAAGAGTCCAGGATATTATTTCTCTTTGGTGAAGAGGACTTTGTCCATGTCACATTCTCCCTGTCTCTTTTTTTAATGTGGTTTGACAGCATGAATTCAAAAGGAGCTTCCACAATTAGAAGGAGAAAGAACCACAGCATCTGTGCTAACAGCCCCTTAGCTGCTCTAATTAGGATCCCCTTATTCCATTTCTGTTTCTCAGGAGAGGACAGGGGGCTTTTTAATTGGGACTATTAGAAGTTCTCTCTACACAATGACACCCTCTGTGAAGTGAAGGCTCCAGCAAAAAGCCATGCCCACTCTGCAATTACTTCTTGCAATTCTGAGGAATAATGGTATCTTGTCTCATTTAAAAATAAATCAGGGCTTATTCCTTACTGCGTTCTCTCCTCTGCCTACTCACATGAGTTTCTTCTTGCCAATTAAGCAAACTTTCCATTATTTAAGGACGTGTTTTGATCCTAACTGTCCCCTGATAATAAGACATATTAAGCTGAATTTCATTTGCCCACAGCTCCACTCCTTTATTCCCAATTGAAGGCTATTTAAATGAGCTCACATCTTGAACTTGCTTGGTGAGAGGGTGCAGTGTTGGAATTTCCTGAGCTTTTGTGTTGATGTCACGGAGCTCACCTGAAATAACCCGCACGTTCAATGCTCTCTGTTTCTCAGAATCGCTTCCTCTTAGAAGAACAGATGTACCTTTGTATTTATGACCTATTCCGGGAAAAGAAATTAAATATTTAGATGAGAAACACATTCTTCAGATGTATTCCCTATGCTGGTTTAATGGATTACCAAGGAGAAAGGGCCTTTCCCAACAAGGCCTGGGGTAACCAGACACCGGAACTTTTCCTACTAAGTTCCACTAGCAAATACAACTGGGTTCTTTCTCAAACCAGTGACTTCTCTGCCACCATGAACACCATTATGTCACATCCTCTAATGAAAAGCACCAGCTCTTACATTCAAAATATTTTATTATTTGTTACTCTGTACATGGATGATGTACAAAATTCCAAAAGTATGTTTAATATTTAATTATATTTAATGCCATAATTGGTATGACATTTTTCATTATATGCTTGCATATAACAAAACAAAAATTAAAAGGACTGGGGATGGAACTCAGTGGTAATGTGCCCCTGGGTTCAATCCCTAGTACCAAAATAATAATAATAATAATAATAATAATAATATAAAATAAATTGAATATATAGTATTGATGATATTACTAACTACTGCTTTAATGGCCATTTTTACAAAGGTATCAGAGACAAGACTTGATATGAGACCAATCTTAAAAATATCTGTAACAAATATGTAGTCAAAAGAACTAGTAGAACCCTTCCTCAAACCTAGAGGCAACCACTTGCTACCCTATGGAAATGACTAATACAGCTTTGCCCAGTAAAGAACATATAGGTCTTAGAAATAAGCAACCATCACAAAGTTACCATCATTTTCTAAGAACTAGCTATGCACCAGATCCTGTGTTCAGCTTTTTAAGTAATCTATTTATTTCAGCTCTTACCCCAGCACTGTCCGGTAATGGTGAAATGTCCTCATTTGACAAAAGAGGAAAGGCACGCTTGGATATGATAACATGCTTAAAGTCACTTAGCTAGTATGTAGTAGAACCAGGATTCTAATATCAGTCCTTCTGCTCCCCAAAGCCTATTCTCATGGTAATAACATTTTATTATCTTTAAGAAACCAACCAGTCATATAATAAACTGTCCATCAGGCCTGATATTTAGCCAGTATATGCCTGGATATACACCAGTAGTACATCCTAGTAGCTTATAACCCATTTTGAAAGATGGGTGTCACACTAATTGTTAAATATTTTTAACATTATCTCTACTGTCCTGATTTCATTTTAGCTCTGTCCCACCCAAAAATCTGCTGATACTCCAAGCTTGTTAAAGATTGATTCTGGACCATATTTTTCACCTACAGCTGCTCTGTTCAAGTTCTTTAAGTCTGAAATTCTTTGTCACCACTCCCTGTTCCTCTGCCTGTCTCTGTTCTCACTTCCCCTAAGCCTTGCTCAATCTCCAGTTCCATCAACTCCTCCCTATTTGCCTAGTCTTTCTTGCCCTCCTGTTCATTGCCCCGTATGAGAAAGATGTATGAGTGTTGATGTTATGGCTTCCTTATGCTTGTAAACCTTGGATTATCTAGAATCACCGCTTAGACACAATAGCTACACAATAAATGGTAAATTGAATCAGAAAGAAAGTTAAATCCATTGACAAGATTAGTTCTTTGACACTACACATATTACTCTAAAAAATACAATTATTTCTCAATACTTACCCTGCCACATCTGTATTCTCCTGTGGCCTTTAACTATTTTGAAGATAATGAGGATGATAAAAAATATAAAAACTAATAGAATTAAAATATACCAAGTGATCTTCGTGGGACAGGTAACATCTGTAGAGAAAAAAATTACTATAAACATACAATAGGGCTGGGGTGTAGATCAGCAGTAGAGTAATTTTGCCCAATGTGTGCAAGGTTCAATCAATAACGTCTCTCTCTCTCTCTCTCTCTCTCTCTCTCTCTCTCTCTCACACACACACACACACACACACACACAGCAATACTCCCCCCTCCAAAAGAAAAAAAAAACTTTACTTTTTATGTCCATTTCTAGGTGCAAAGAAATGTGAATACAATTGTTAGGATAGTCCATAATTCTACAAGTGTGATTTGTAGACTTTTCCTTGATTGGATCTTCTTCCACTCTTATTGATTTTCTAGTGTGGTTTTTTAGATGGCAGGTAATGTTATATTCCCCCATGTAGTCAACTATAGGAGTCGCAGTGAAGTTAAAATGTTGACAAGGTGAATAAAAATCATTTTCTTTCATTTCCATTGATCCTCTCATGATAAGAACTAGAAAGAGATTAAGAAATCATTATTTGAAAATAGTCATACAAAGTAGGAAAACACAATGCAAAACAAAATCACCTTCCTACATAAGAAAATAGAAAGGTACCAAAACAGGCGGGTGGACCAATGGTACAGAATAGAGGACACAGAAACCAATCCACAAAACTACAACTATCTTATATTTGATAAAGGGGCTAAAAGCATGCAATGGAGGAAGGATAGCATCTTCAACAAATGGTGCTGGGAAAACTGGAAATCCATATGCAACAAAATGAAACTGAATCCCTTTCTCTCGCCATGCACAAAAGTGAATTCAAAATGGATCAAGGAGCTTGATATCAAATCAGAGACGCGCCGTCTGATAGAAGAAAAAGTTGGCTACGATCTACAGTCGGTGGGGTCGGGCTCCAAATTCCTCAATAGGACACCCATAGCACAAAAGTTAATAACTAGAATCAACAAATGGGACTTACTCAAACTAAAAAGTTTTTTCTCAGCAAAAGATACAATAAGAGAGGTAAATAGGGAGCCTACACCCTGGGAACAAATCTTTACTCCTCACACTTCAGATAGAGCCCTAATATCCAGAGTATACAAAGAACTCAAAAAATTAGACAATAAGAGAACAAACAACCCAATCAACAAATGGGCCAAGGACCTGAACAGACACTTCTCAGAGGAGGACATACAGTCAATCAACAAGTACATGAAAAAATGCTCAACATCTCTAGCTGTCAGAGAAATGCAAATCAAAACCACCCTAAGATACCATCTCACTCCAGTAAGATTGGCAGCCATTAGGAAGTCAAACAACAACAAGTGCTGGCGAGGATGTGGGGAAAAGGGTACACTTGTACATTGCTGGTGGGACTGCAGATTGGTGCAGCCAATTTGGAAAGCAGTATGGAGATTTCTTGGAAAGCTGGGAATGGAGCCACCATTTGACCCAGCTATTCCCCTTCTCGGTCTATTCCCTAAAGACCTAAAAAGAGCATGCTACAGGGACACTGCTACATCGATGTTCATAGCAGCACAGTTCACAATAGCAAGACTGTGGAACCAACCTAGATGCCCTTCAATAGACGAATGGATAAAAAAAACGTGGCATTTATACACAATGGAGTATTACTCTGCATTAAAAAATGACAAAACCGTAGAATTTACAGGGAAATGGATGGCATTAGAGCAGATTATGCTAAGTGAAGCTAGCCAATCCCTAAAAAACAAATGCCAAATGTCTTCTTTGATATAAGGAGAGTAACTAAGAACAGAGTAGGGTCGAAGAGCATGAGAAGAAGATTAACATTTAACAGGGATGAGAGGTGGGAGGGAAAGGGAGAGAGAAGGGAAATTGCATGGTAATGGAAGGAGACCCTCAGGGTTATACAGTGGAGGAGGTAGAGAGAGAGGAGGGGAGGGGAGGGGAGAGGTGGGGAGGGGGGAGGGTGGAGGATGGGAAAGGCAGCGGAGCACAACAGACACTAGTATGGCAATTTGTAAATCAATGGATGTGTAACTGATGTGATTCTGCAATCTGTGTATGGGGTGAAGGTGGGAGTTCATAACCCACTTGAATCAAAGTGTGGAATATGATACGTCAAGAAATTTGTAATGTTTTGAACAACCTACAATAAAAAATTTAAAAAAAAAAAGAAAATAGAAAGAAGTTACCTACACTGACAATAATAATTTTTTAAATTTATTTTGTAGTTTTCGGTGGACACAACATCGTTATTTTATTTTTATGTGGTGCTGAGGATAGAACCCAGCGCCCCGCACATGCCAGGCAAGCATGTTACCGCTTGAGCCACATCCCCAGCCCCTGACAATAATATTTAAAGTGATTGCATTTTTTAAGATAGTGAAAACCATTCAGGGGTAGGATTGAAGTAGGCTTAGAGCATCTCATAGAAGATATAGGCATTCCCTGAAGACTTGTGGAACAAATGGTATTTTCCAGAATGGACACAGTATTTCCCACATCATGCTTTCTAATGATGCTGTAACAAAGCATTGCAAACATCTCAGTTCTTGAGAATACAAGTGTAAGATCAAGGTATGGGCAGGGTGGGCTCCTTCTTGGGGTTGTGAGGAGGAACTTGGTTTTTTGTTTTGTTTTGTTTTGTTTTGTTTTTTCAGTGGTGGTGCTGGGGATTGAACCCAGGGCCTTATACATGCAAGGAAAGCACTCTGAGCTACATCCCCAGTCCCTCTGGCTTGATCTTAACATCGCCCTGTGTGCATTTCTCCTTGTCCAATTTCTCCTTTTTAGAAGGACATCACAATTAGATTAGGGCCCATACAGTTGACTTAATCTTAACAAAGTTACATCTACAGTGATTTCACATTATGAGACATTGGGGGTTAGAACTCCACATATAAAATTTGGGGGAGACAATTCAATCCATAACTCACATGTTATCCTAAAACTTTGCCCCTCCTCCACAAATTAGTAGAAATTTCATTTCTTCCCCCATTTGAACTGGGAGAGCTTGTAACTTGTTTACAGTTTATCCAATGCAGAGGAAATGTCATTGTTTGACTAAGCTAGAAAGTGAAACCATCTCCACATTGTTCTTTGGAACACCAACACTGGAGCTTTGAGTCACTATGTATGAGTCCAACAACTGAAGGCCACCCTGCTGTGAGGAGCCCCCAAAGAGCCCAAGCAGAAAGACAAGAGAGGAATCAATGAACAGAGTGAAAAAGCAGCCCACAGAATGAGAGAAAACATCTGCAAACCATACACCTGATAGAAGGTTAATACCAAAAATATATAGGGAACTCTTATCGCTATAATAGAAAAAAAAACCTGATTTTAAAAAATAATAGAAGAATTGAATGGACATTTCTCCCAAGAAGATACACAGATGGCCAATGGGTATTTGAGAAAGTGTTCCGTTATCACTAATCATCAGAGAAATGCAAATCAATACCACAACAAGATATCACCTCACATCTGTCAATAAGAATATCATCAAAAATCAAAAGATAACAAGTACTATCAAGAAGGTACAGAAATTGGAGCCCTTGTATAATGCTGGTGGGAATGTACATTGGTCCTGTCACTATGAAAAACTGTATGTAAGTTTCTCAAAATATTAAATATAGAATTACCATATGACTCAGCAATCCCAGTGCCTAGGATTTTCAAAAGCATCCATTCAGGATCTCAAAAAGATACCCACACTTCCGTATTCATGGCAGCATTGTCCACAATACCAAAGATATAGAAGCAACCTATTTGTTCCTTGAAAGATAAATAGATAAAATGGCATGCACACACAAGTGTTTTGTAGCCTTAGGAGAAAAAGAATTCCTATTATTTGTGACAACATGGAAGACATCATGCTGAGTGAATGAAATAAGTCAGTGGCAGCACAAATTCCATATGAATCCCCTTATCTGAGAAATCTAAGTACTCAAACTATTAGGATCAGGGAGTAGAGTGGTGGTCATCAGGGGCAAGAGCAGAGGGGAAACGCAGAGTTCCTGTTCAGTGGTTATAAAGACATTGTGTGTTTAGAAATGTTATGTGTTCTCATCACAACAATAATAAGGAAAGGTCACATAGAGAAAAACTCTGAGACCCCAAGAAGAGAGAGATGCCTACCAACCTCTACCTGTTCTGGCTCTGTTTTAGCTACACTCTCCATCTAACTCCAACAGCCAGAAATGACCAGCTAGGCCCCCTTGGAATTCTTGACCCACAAAAGAAAGAAGGAAGGCAGGTAAGAAAAAGGAAGGGGAAGGAAGAGAAAGAGAGAAGATATAATAACATGATTGCTGTTGTTTTTAGCCACTGAGTTTGGAGTAGTTTGTTTTGCAGCAAAGACAGCTGGGACACCTTGCCAAGGCATTGTTCTCATGTGTTAGGGAGGAAGAAAAGCAACATCTGTGAGCCACCAGCCCTTAAAACACTTCCTGGACCTCTATCATCATAGAGGAATTTCCTCAATTTGCTTTCAGACAGATTCAGCAGGGAACCTTGGAATGGTTACATACTATTTGAGCAAGAACTTTGTCTACAGTCGATGCAAAGAAATCTTGTCTCTGTTCTCAAAGAATAGAAAAAAGTCAGTATCTAGTGACGCAGGAGGCAAACTTGCTGAAAAGCTGTAAGCAATAATTCTGATGCTTGGGCTCGAAGTCATCAGCATATTTTATGACTTTGAATAAATTAATTTCTCAATTACCCAGTTTGATGCATTGTACCTAAATAATATAGATTGATCTCATAATAAATGCAAGGTTCAATTAGGTACTGCAGGTAATGCGTAGTTATTCTCTACTTTGTTCATTGTTTCATTCAGCAAATGTTTGTTGAGGGCCCACTATACATTAGGTCAGGCATTGAGCTCAAAGCTAGAGGTCTGGTGGTGAACAAGGGCAAGGCCCTGCCCTCCAGAGACAACTCCTACTGACCGGAAGTGTTAGGCAGGAGCACGGACAAATGCACCAAGTGTTCAACGACTCCTTGGAGAAACAAAATTAGCTTTTACTATGAGAAATTTCAGGTTTACCTAGAATTATTGTTTAATCATGTGCTGCCTTGGAAGACAGCAAGCTGAATAACTTAATGTTTGTTTGTTTTTAAGCATCAAATGTATGTGAACTACAGTGGTATTTTGATGTATTTTAAGAACAGACATTTTGTTTTCAATAAGTCAACCAAAAGTGAATAATATCAAAAAACCCTACAAGTCACTCATCAAGAGCCACACCACCGAGTGTTCCCCTGTCACTGGATTTTAAAATGGGATCTATTATTAATACTTTTCTCAGCAGGATAAGTCTATTTATACTTGATGAATTTTATTCTCACTGCCATTCTGTATTTACTCGTCTCCCCCTTACTGGGGATTGAGCTCAGAGCCTCATGCATACAAGGCAGTTGTTCTAGCACAGAGCAAATTCCCAGCCCCTCTGCGTTTACCTTTTGATGTTTGTTCCTGAGAAATGGAATCCATGTTTCCTTTGGATTCACAAACCAAACATGAGGAGCATATTTTAAATTCACTTGTGATGTCTTGGCAAATCTTCGTGAAGTTTTGGAAAGTAGAGGAATTTAGAAAGATTCCCATCATAGTCTGAGTTTCCCTTACTGGTTGCAGAAAAGTCACAAAAGAAAAATTTAAGGAGGACAGCGAATAGGTGGAATTAGGCTGCAAACACTCTTCCAGACAGGAAAGCTCCAATGTTCTTCCTGTAAAAGAAAACAGAAATACTTTCTTTCCTATGAAATTTTGAAGTTTGGGCATTCAAATAATATATGATTCTACTTATCTGAGAGAAAAGTTAAAAATTCATTCTTCATTTAGGATAGGATACCTGATTTAATTCATACAAATAATCAAAGCTCACTAATGTAAAAATTGAGAATTCCCAGTTAGTAGTAATGATCAAGTAAGGAATAAGTAGCCTATCTTTCAGAAATTCCCACTCTGACAGTCATTTGTTAGCATGAGAAAATAACAGACAAGGCCAATTCACCATTATGTGACTCTTTACCATCTCTTATATAACCACAGGGAACAAACCATATATTTAAGATTTCTTTTTTGTTACCAGGAATTAAACCCAGGGACGCTTAACCACTGAGCAATATCCCCACCCCTTTTTTATATTTTATTAGAGACAGAGTCTCACTGAATTGCTTAGGGCCTTGCTAAGTTTCTGAGGCTGGATTTGAACTCAAGATCCTCCTGCCTCAGCCTCCCGAGCTGCTGGGATTATAGGTGTGCACCACCACACCCAGCTATTTTTAAGATTTCTAAACAATGTGGTGTGAAGCACTGGGTTCAATTCTCAGCATGATAGATAGATAGATAGATAGATAGATAGATAGATAGAAAAAATAAAGGTCCATCAACAACTAAAAAAATATATTTTTTAAAAAATTACATGGAACACAATAAAAGAATCACTTCATTTTTAAAAATGACTAATTCTAATTAAACATATTGGTTCAAACTTAAAAATCAAACTAGTTATTGATATTAAGGCATTTTTTGAATTTGTGGAGTTTGAGCCAGGCACAGAGGCATTTGCTACTCAAGAGACTGAGGAAAGCGTATCACAAGTTTGAAGCCAGCCCAGGGAACTTATTTAGACTGTCTCAAAATGGAAAAAGAAATGAGGCTGTAGCTCAGTGGGGGAGTGCTTGCTCCGGGGCCTGGTTTCAATTCCGAGCACCACAAAAAGAAAAAGAAAAATATTGTAGAGTTTTTATTGTACTTTAATAGTAATTCCACAGGTGCTTAGTTATTAGTAATTTTATTATTATTTAATAAATACTCGTGTCCTAGCCCTCTATATTTGAAATTGTTTTTCTAATAATTCACATAATTTCCAGCTATAAAAAAATTCATACTTGAGGGGCTGGGGTTGTGGCTCAGTGGTAGAGCGCTAGCCTAGCATGTGTGAGGCCCTGGGTTCGATCCTCAGCACCACATAAAAATAAATTTTAAAAAGGTACAATACCTTTGTGTCCAACTACAACTAAAAAAATAAATATTTTTTTTTAAAAAAATTCATTCTTGAAACCAGGTGCAGTGGTACACATGTAATCCCAGCTATTCAGAAGGATGAGGCAGGAAGATGTAAGTTTAAGGTCAGTCTGGGCAACGTAATGAGACTCTGTCTCAAAATAAAAGATAAAAAGGACTGGGGATATAGCTCAGTGGTAGAAACACTCCAGTACCAAAAAAAAAAAAAGGAAAGAAAGAAAGAAAAAAGAAAAGGAAAAATTTTTTTCATACTTGGAGTGCCATAAGGATTTTTTCAAGGGGGATGAAATTCTATTCAAATATACAATTTTATTGTGTCTAATATGTTTACAATCAAATTTGTAATCGCAACAAAAATATTGCCTTTGGTAGTAATGTCAAAGGAAGGAGATGGAAATGTGCTATCTGATGGAACTCTATAATTTACAGCTTTTTAGATATTACTAAAATACATTTAAAAAACTTATTTCTTGCCACTTTTCCATTTTCTTCACTGTCACTTTCATCATATGAAATTTTCAATTTCTTGAATTTATATTGCTATGATATGACCTAGAAGAGAGATACAGACATTTTTACTGTCAATATTGTGGTCATCTTATCCAATAATTGACCAAATGAGCTTTCTGGAATTGATTATATATTCTTTATATTTGGCTATCAGGTCATTTTGTGATGATTTTAAACCTCAGTTTTAAATAATTCAATTGGAAAAGAAATAAACAGAGGATACATCCTTCTCTCATATATTTTTAAGAAATAAATAATTCTACCCAATCATTTTTGTTATCAGGTGGGCTATATTCTCATCTCCATAAACAAGGATTTATGAATTTAACTACTGCCATTAATATTGCTGGCAGGCAGACATCTAAATTCTCTCTCTGAGACAGAAATGCTTTCCAGAATTATTTCACTGCTAAGACAGCAACCTCTCAGAGGAGGTATACCGAATACTAAATAGAATTAGGAAAACACATGACAACATAGGACAAATGCCCAAGTTAATTATTTTCTCTTTTTAAAGTAAAGCAAATAGTAAGAATAAAAACATACCAACAATCTTAATTTTCTTTTCTATCTTTCATTATAAAATTTTCACACACACACACACATACATACACATACACACATACACAAAGAAAAATGTATTGTGCTAGTTAAAGAATAATGAAAATGAACAAAGGCCATGTACTTGTCACCTAGATCAAAAATAGTATATTACCAACATAGTTTCAGGACCTTATCCCTCCTCACCCCTATAGTATTGCATATTTAGAAATAAATATATATGGAATATACTGTATATACTCTCTTGTGATTTGTTCTCTCTTTTTTTGCACTTAATATATTTTAGTAATGTTTATGCATACAGCTATAGTTATTTATTTGTCGTATTCTTATGAATGAATGTACCACAATTTATTTCTTCATCCTTCAGACAGTGAAAGTTTATTTCCACTTTTTGCTGTTATGAATAATACTGTTATGAACTGTAACTCCTATACACTGCTGGTGAGGATGTAAAATAGCACAACTACTTTGGAAATGAAACAGGTTTTTATTTCCATTATAAGTTAGACATATATTTACCATGCAGTCCCCAAATTCCGCTCCCAGGAATTTACACAAGAGAAATAAAAACATATATCCATACATTAAAATGCTCCTATTTTACATATACATGAATGTTTTATGACAGCTGTTTACATTTATAATAACCAAGAACTAGAAACAATCCAAATTTCCCACAACTAGTGGCTGTATAAGTCCTGACATATCTATATAAAGAAATATCACTCAGCAACAAACTTCTAATACTAAAAAGAAAAATGATGGAGCAGAAAAATAGAGGAACCAGGAAATATACTTCTAAACCATGATGCAATTCTATTTTATTGAAGTTTAAAATTTTGAAGGATTCCTTAAATTTTTATCAGCATATTACCTCACAGTTTGTACCTTGTCTAGTTCATCTTCTTTATTATGATCGTTAAGTTAAAGGAAGGTCTTAATTTTAATGTAGTGAACTTATCAACAATTTTCTTTATAATTTATACTTTGTGTCTTATTTAAGAAGTCTTTTTCCCTTAAGGTTAAAACAACTTCACCTACATGTTCTTCTAAAAGTTGTGAAGTTCGGCCTTTTACATGTAAGTTCTTCATCTACTGGGAATTGTGTACAGTGTGAGGTAGGTGTTTTGGTTTGGATCTAGAATGTGCACCCTTTTCCAAAAAATCTCACATTTTGAAGGCGTGGCCTCCAGGGCAGCAATGTTCAGAGGTGGGACTTTGGGGAAGTGATTGGATCAGGAGGTCTCTGATAGCATCATGGAGTAACCCACTGACACCTGAATGGACTACAGGGAGGTAGTGGAGACTGTAGGTCAGGGGCCTGGTGGGAGAAAGAAGGTCATTGGAGACATATCCTGAAGTGGTATTTCCTATTTTCCAATTCTTATATTTCTTTTGTTGTATTTTTTTTTACTTGTTTTATTGCACTGACTAGGACCTCCAATGCAATGTTGAATAGAAATAATGTTAGTATATATCTTTTCTTGCTTCTGATTTGAAAACAAATACCCATAATGCTTTATCCATGATATTTCCTATAGCCATTTTTAGATATATCTTATCCATTTATGAAGTTTTTCTTCTATTCCTGGCTTGCTAAGAATTTTAATTATGAGGGCATACAAATATATACTATCTTAACAACTTCTAAAATGATTATATGGTCTTTGTTCTTTAATCTGTAAGCGTAGTAAATTACATCATTAGATTTTCTAATGCTAACTAAATATTGAACTCCAGGAACAAATCTAATTTGATTATTCTTCTACATTGCTGCATCTGGATTCTTAAGGTTTTGTGTCTATGTTTATAAGTGAGATGGGTTTGTAAATTTTTCTCTTTTATACCATTTTTGTTAAGTTCAAATACCAAGATATACTAACCTTAAAAAATAAATTGGAAAATAGCCCCCCTCTTTGCTGTTTTGAAAATGTTTATATAAAATTATATTTGGTCTGTTTCTTCAAAGTTCAGTGGAGCTGCAGGTAAAATCTTCCAAACTTTGCATTTCTTTCAGAGACTAAGCCACTGACTCAGTTCCTTTAATTGTTGTGTAACTCCTGGGCTTTGCATTTCTCCCCAAATAAGTTTTGGTAAATTGTATTTCTCTAGAAATATATGACTGTGTTTTATATTTGTTGACATAAATTATTAATAACATTCTATTACATTTTTATTTCTGCTATGTCTGTATCTATATCCCATTTTTATTACTAACATTAGTTACTTGTACCTTCTCCCATTTTTTGATTACTCTGTTTTGACAGGGAGAATAATGGACTCTCAAAGATGCCCATCTCCTAGTTCCTAGAACCTGTGGATATGTTGAATAACATGGCAAAAGGGGAATTAAGACAGATGATGGAATTAAGATTGCTGATCAACTGATCCTAAAATAGAGAAATTCTCCTGGATTACCTGAACGGACCCAGTGAAATGACAGATGAGGAAGAGGGTAGCAGAAGAATCAGTGTCAGAGTGTGAAGACTCAGCAGACCATGCTGGTTCTGAGGGTGAGCTGAGGGATTCAGGCAGCTTCCAGAAGCTGAAAAACAGCCAGGAAATTGATTCTCTTCCAGAGTGTCCAAAAGGAATACAGCCCTACTGACACCCTGATTGTAGC